TCGAGAAGGCCGGCGGGTTCACCATTACCTCGACTCCGCGGGAGGCGCGGACACCACACCCCGCCCTGGTAGGACTCGAGTCCGAGTCCGGGCCCGGGTCTGCCGAGTCCGAGAACCGGACCCCATCGAGAGGAGATAAGGACGGCGAGGACGACAGCAACAAGAACAGCAACGCGACCCAGACCCAGACCCAGGTTCAGACACAGACACAGGGGCCCTACCTCGAGCTAGCGGTCCAGAAGTCCCCCGACAACCCGCCCGCGGCGTGGCTCTGGCGCGACCCGCCGACGAGCGTCCTCGGCGCCGAGCTCCGCGTGCGCGTAGGCGGCAGCTTCGTGTGGCCGCCGCCGGGCGTGAACGTGCGCGCGCTGCGCCGCGTCGTCTTCGTCGCCGGCGGCATGGGCGTGAACCCGCTCGTCTCGATGCTGAGCAGCCTCGCCTCCTCCTCCTCGTCCCCTCCCGCCGCCGCGCGCGGGGGAGACTTCGAAGTGCACTTCCTATACTCGCTCCGGGACCCTTGCGGCGGCGCTGGGGGTCGAGGGCGTAGGGAGGCGGGGAAGATGCTGTTCCTGGACAGGATCGCGCGTGTCTTCCGCGAGGGGAGGGTCAAGGGGCGGCTTGAGGTCTTCTTGACGACGGGGAGCAACGGTGCCGAAGAAGCGCAAGGAGAAAAGGAAAAGGAGGGCTCGGGCGGAGACGGGGACAGGGAGAATGTTATTGCGTGGGGCGATGAAAACGAAGATCCTCCTATCCCCTTTCATCCCCGCAGGTGTACCGTCGAGGACGACGTGGTGAAGGCCGTGGGCGGCACCCCGGCCGAGAGACGCTTCGCCGTCGTCTACGTCTGTGGCGTGCCGGCCATGACGGACGAGTTCGTGGCCACGCTCACGGATCGCCGGCGTGGGCTTGGTATGGAGCCCCATCGGGTCCTGTGCGAGAAGTGGTGGTAGGTAATAAATCTGGAGGCGTACGTGTATGTATGTAAGCATGTCTATCTATCTACCTACTATCAAAGTGTTCTCGTTGCTTTAGTACAGCTACGAGATGAGGTCTTCATCTTGGGACGGCCATGTGATTGATGAATGCTCTACGTGATTTGGCGATTTTGAGACATCGTACGCCCGTCACATAGCAATCACCCTCTCCGAGGACTCAATTGTATGAATGAACTAACGTCAGAACAGGTACTTGCGAGGTTTGAGGTCCGAGGCGCGTCCCGGGGACCAGCGTTCCAGCTTCTATTCAAGCCACTGCATTAGATCTCATATGGTCACACCTCGCCATTTACTAGATTAAGATAGAATAACATAGCCGTTACGAATCTAGTGATGTCGTTCAAGCCTATCTCACAGTATCTATGGCCACTACGGCAGCTGGCCTCTCCCCTGCTAATTCTCTAACCTGAGTCCTCAATGCTTTGAGGCAGAAGCTATTTGCTATAATTTTGGACATGACGGGGCCATGATGCGGGGGCATACTGTCTCCATCCTCGTCTGTTATAAAGTCTAAGAAGGTTCTGTCCATTTCACTTGATCCATTACTTGGCCGGCTGATGGGTGCCTGTAGCCGACTCGCAACATTAACCGCAGAGGCTGTGATTCACGCACAAGGGTCAGCGTATCCATAAAGACGACAACGACGGAATAGTGACTCTGCTGTACAGCGTCAGGAATATGTTTTTTTTTCTACTTACCCCTTTGCTTCCCATTATCCTCATCAGCTGCGTCGCTTCGGCGCCGGGGGCGATGTTTGAATCCGAGATACTCATGAGCTGTAACTTCTGCGTCTTCGGCACGGCGGCCTGCAGACCGACGTCGGATAATTGCGAGCCTGAGCGGTTCGAGAAACGCGCTGTCACTTGGATTGCGCCCTCGGCATTGCGCTGTAAGTGGAGAACCACATTCAGCCCGTTCGCATCATAACACGGTAGTCCTGCAGGGGGGGCGGCGCCAGTTGGCTGTTGGGATGGAGGTGCTCCAAACATGCCTAAGCCGGAGGTGGCGGCAGCAGGACTCGGAGTTGAAGCTGCAGGTCCTTGAGAGAAGAGGTCCATTATAGACGCGGTAGTCGTAGATGGTGGTGGCGGCGAGGTCGTTGGTGATGTATTGCCGCTGAGTATATCGGCAAGAAGATCGGTATTGCTCTGTGTTCCGTTCGTGGGTGAAGCGAGGGGCGCTGATACGTTATCACCCATGAGATCTAATAGGTCTTGATCCGTCGTGGGCTTGGCGACAAGCTTCGATTTGCGGTTGGTACTCTTCTTGGCTTTCTTGGTAGCCTCACCAAGAACCCGGGATTCTTCTTTGATCTGAGGTGGCGGCATCTTTTCGAAAACACCACGGCGAATTTCGTCGAATGAGAAAAGGTTCCCGTACTCTACGGCTCTTTGTTGGACCTCGACATCCAGGGCAGTCTGGTATGTCTGTAATAGGTTCTTCACCCGCTGAACTTGCGTCCCGTCGGATAGGCGGGTACTTAGCTTGATGAGGGCTGTGACGATATACTGAGTTGTGATTTGGGTCGCGTAACTACTGTTGAGAATGGTTGTGAATAAGTCGACGATTTCGTGTTCCTTTACCTCTTGCACCAGTTCTTCCTCCTCGTACTGGCCTCCCCGTAGCAGAGAGTCGCCGTACTCTCCAATGCACCAGGCGGCGGCTTGTGTCAGACTCTCCTGGGTAATATCCTTCTTGAAACCGATATACAGCTTCTGAACAGCGTAAGTCTGTAGCTCGGGCGTAGTTGCCACAAGCCGGACAAACGAGGCCAGGATGGGTTCCTTGACATAATTTCCGGCAAGGGTCAATACTCGCAGCATGGTATCTACATGCCACCGTTTGTTCGGCGAATATCGATCGGCAGCGATTCCAATCTGGCTTGTCATACTAGGCTTAAATTCATTGTCGGCTACTTCCAAGAAAGCGAGTAATTCGCGAATGAGCACGCGGACATTGCTCTCGTTGATGAGGGTAAAACTGAGCTCGAGAGCTCGTCTTCTTATACTGATATCGGGATCCCGCAGGCACTCGAGTATGGTATTGCGATGGCGCTGGACAGCATTGGGCTCAATGGCAACCACCTTGATCAATGTGTTCAGAGCCACATACCGTATGTTGTTATCTCTGTTCGTGAGGAACTTGCCAAGGATATTGACACCAAGTACCCTCAAGCCAGAGTCGGCCTCAATATCGAGAATGGTGCGTACGGCCTCATAGAGTATCGAGTTACCCACGTTCTTTGACGAGTCCGTGTTGGTGGCGACTTGTGCTAGGATGTCGTTGATTTGCTCGGTGCCTTCAGCATCGCCACGAACGAGCACGCGGAGGAGGCGAAGAATCTTGACTTGCAAGAACGGGTCGGTAATGCCCATGACATCATGCTCTGGGGCATAGCCGGATGTGGCCAGCCCCTTGAGCGTCCGTACAAGTAAGGGGACGAATTGTTTGAACTTCTCGATGATGCCTTCGTCGGTCCCCTCGTCTTCCTCGGCCTCGCACATGCTCGTGATAAGGGTTAGACCGCAAAGCAGGACGCCATGGTTTCGATCGGACAAGAGCTGCGAGGCCTTCTCGACGAAGTGTTCTTGAAGCTCGGGCACCTTTCCACCGATTCGCATAGCACAGAGCGCGGCCTTCCGTCTGATGTAAGGGTTGGCGGTAGATATCAGATTCTCGATTTCGGGGAACAGATCCCGGGACATGTCGATCGAGGCAATATTACCCAGCGTACAGAGAGCGAGGCCGACGACATACTGGTTCGAATGGCCTAGATCGCTAAACGGAAAAGGGGTCGCGGGTCAGTCTTGTGACAGGCGAACAGGGGGGACATGACATACCTCTTGAGAGAGTTTGTGACTAGTGTGAGTACGCTCTGTTTCTCGTCAAGAAGAAGACTGGTGGCCAGGTGCCCCAGACGCTTGTCGGCGAAGCGCGGGGAGGCGAGCAACGTTATGCATTCTATCTGACCGAAATGTGTCTTCTCGCCCAGGGTGAAGAGATATAGCAGCTTGGCGACGTTGTTTCGTCTGCGCGGATCAGTTAGTCATCTACCTCGAGAGACTTTTGCACATCTTGACACGTCGCTCGCACCTGACGTTGTGGTCGTGACTCTCTTCGCGGAAGCTGGCCCGGATGGCAGCGCTCTCCTTTTGGATGACGGCGCGTTCGTCGGCGATCGTCTTTGCGGCGCGCACGTTGCGGATGAACTGTTTCACTGCAGCAACGCAACACCACGGTCAGCACCACGGGAGACGGGACAGGAGGGCGAATGGCGAATCGAGAGGGACAGGGGCAAGGGGACTCCTCGACGTCGACCTGGGCTGGCTTACAGGAACTCATGGTGGTGATGGCGGCAGAGTGGAGGCCCCCAAACGGGCCGTCTACAGATGTATGGCCAGAGCCAGCGCAATGTCAATCGGAAGATAGTCGATGGTCGATGGTAGACGGATGGTGGGTGTGCGTGATGTCGTGGTTCTGGACTAGAATGATCTACACGTGTATGTGGTTTCGGTTTCGCTCAGCGCACCGTCTCAAGGTGTTGTTGCCGATTAGCTGCTGATTAGGTACTTACTGAGAGCACTTATCGTGGGGCTCTCATGTTGGATGCTCGGCGTTTGGTTGGCCTTTGTAGGTACCAAAATACGCTACTAGCGTAGCTCCTAAGTTTGGCGTCTAAGGTAGGTTGCCTGTTTAACGAACAAGGCTTAGCGCGGCTGTCGCTTTTACTCAGTCTCAGCTCACCACCCTGTTCTCACTCACGTGACTGAGAACCCAGATTTATGCAGAATTAACGCGGATGAGGACAGCAGATCACTGTCCTAGCTGGTGATACTACTGTACAAGAGCTGGAAGGAGAGAATCTTGCATATATATGTTGCCAGGTGTTGAACCTAAACCAAGCCGTACCCAACGTCCCATTGGGTAAGTATAGCGCAGTGTCCACTCCTGACTGACGATGACTTTCTGTTCTTCTACCCAAGTAAGAGGCGCGTCTATCAGTTAGCTTGTATGGCGCAGCGGTACTTAGCGCGTTGCTCTTATAAGTAACAGGCCATCTGGTTCTTTATGTTATGCAAAGGTCGTGGGTTCGAATCCCACTACAAGCACTTTTTGCTCTAGAACGCACCACACCGGTTTAAAATTTTTTTTTTTTTTTTTTTTTTTTCAAAAAATTTTCATAGCGCCACAAGCCCGCTATATGTTTCTGCTAAAATAAAATACTTGCCATGAAGTAACTTGCTATGTACGAAGTATTTACTTCGCATAATAAGGTGCTTGGTTACTGCATCTAGGTACTTCGGGCAAGCTATATGAGGCTATTATGTAAGCCATGGCCGTTGAAGCTGGAACCAACTTGTACATGTAATCTCTAGCCTCCTGGAGTTTCTACTCGGTACCTGTGTACAAGTATGTGCTTACATTGTAAGAAAGACTTACTTTCTACGCTACATGTAGTTTTCGACGTAGAAGTTAGTTGTAGATAGTAATGTTGAGAAAGGCAGCAATTGTTAGTTTAGCACTGGTGGTTCCATTCGTAAACAGTTGACAACACCTATGCAATGATAAATTATCTAAGAGAGAGACGTAAGTCACCAGTTATCCACGGAGATAAGGAGGAGTGTAATTCGTAAATCCCTACTTATGGTATACCTACTTACTTTTGTGTGTAGTAATAGTGTACACCTATGTTGCAATCCTGGCTGACTTGTAGACTGGGGGTGCCTAACGCGCAGAAGAACGGACTAATTGATGCAACCCACCGGACACTTTAATTATTTAAATTGGTAATTCCGTACCTCTCCTGGGGTGCATTTCTCTGACCTTCGGGTCCGCAATCTGGCCGTTCATATGCACACGCGCGGCCGAGATCTGGCTTCAGCTTCGTCATTTCCCCTGGAACCTAAATGTTTATCCGATTATAGCATATCTTAGTCCAAAGGGCTGACGAATGAATGGAGCCTGTATCAGTGAATTCAACTGCATGAATCGATGACCCTGGTCTTACCCAGTCCGATTAGTGTACAGTTCGCTCTTTGGTGGTTTCGTTTCGTTTCGCTTCTATCGTCTACTTACGGGAAGCCTACTTATAGTCTAGGTATCCTACATATAAAGGGGAAAGTGAGAGGCAAAGTCCTCTAGCCAACTCTCCTGACAACATCTCCAACCTAATCACTTGCCTCTTCTATTACAATTTTGAAACTCACGACAGCTATACTACTATTAGTTAGATCCTCTCTCCAACCTTCCCTTTTACCATATTCATCATGCCTTTCGTTTTCGAAGTTCCCAAGGAGTACGGGTACGTAGAATACAATAAGTTGAAATAAAATCAGGGGGGGAGAAGAGTAGTAGTATAGCCCCTAGCGTGTACACTTAAGTTGGGTAACTTGGTACCTCGCTTATATCATGTATTTTGATATCGAAGTTTTCCAATCAATCTTTGATTCCGTTTTGTGCAAGCTAACCAGACGCTCATCTCCAACCACAGCTACGTCCTAGCCGTCGCCACCTCGACCATCTTCATCAACACCTACCACAAGACCCTGACCTACAGCGCGCGCAAGGCGAGCGGCATCAAGTACCCCAACTCCTTCGCGACGCCGGAGCAGGCCGACAAGGACCCCAAGGCCTACAAGTTCAACCTCGCGCAGCGCGCCCACTCCAACTTCACCGAGAACCACGCCCCCTTCGTCACCGCCCTCCTGATCGCCGGCCTGGGCTACCCCGACTTCGCGACCTACGCCGGCATCGCCTGGGTCGTCGGCCGTTTCTTCTACGCCTTCGCCTACACCAAGTACGGGCCCCAGGCGCGCACTACGGGCTACGCCGTCGCGCACCTCGGCAAGATCGCCGTGACCGTCATGGCCGTTCTGACTTCCTATCGGATGGTGCAGGCTGCCTCTAAGTAGATAGGAACGCTGAGATTCGGGAAATGCAGCTTTTGTATGTAATTGATAAGGAGAAAATATGGATTGGTACTTACGAAATACTCTACTTCGCTTATTTATGCCTGGCACTTGCGCCAGAGTCGACTTGTGTCCACGCTTTTTGCAGGCAAGCAGGTGTTTAAAAGTTCCCAAGAGCATATAGGTAATCGTGCGAGCGGCTTAATCGGTTCGCTAGGCAAGTTTCTAGGTTGGTTCTGTAAAAAGAGTATTTTTTGGCTTGTAGGGGTGCTTGTCTACCTTACTCATCCAGAGTTGTAGTATGTATGCATGTAGAAACGGCAACGCGAGTTGCTTAGCTCTAGCCTTTGTCACTCGGCATCTTTTCAGGTTGCCCAATCGTGGTTGTTATAAATATCCAGCAAAAATGTAATGGTAGCTCAGGCTGTGAACTCAGTCGAGAATGTATTGATGATAACGCCCGGCGCCACCAATGTCCCCCTCAAACCACCGAACGCCATAGAATGCTGTTATTATTTTTGTACAGATCGTAAACACTGTGTAGATTTTCCAACATCTCATGTAAGTGCGTCGCTGACCTTGCCTCACTATCGGCATTCTTGCTACAGTGCCCTCGTCTCGTTATCATCGCCGGCAAGTGGCTTCTGCGCTGCTTTGCGGTCGTCGAAGGGCGTTTCCTGTGCCCATTCATGGCCGTTATTCCCAAGCACTTGATGTATAAGTCAGCAATTGTCCAGTCAGGCCATGAGGGACCTAGAAGTGTTGTGTGTGGGATGGTCATGAGGCCAATAAGACAAGGAGCATCAGGATTACTCACAAAAGTCGCCCAAGTATTTCATCGCTTGGAATATCTCCTCTCCGGCAGGTATAATGTTGTCGTTCGGAAGAAGGAAACCATAACTCCCAGTATCTCTCAGCTTGATCTGATAACTGTAATGTGCGCCTAGTTCATGATGAAAGTAGTCTATGGCTGAGCCTCCCCTGGTTTCGATCAGCGGCCCGGCTGAGTTGGGTACGGCACCTTCACATGCCGATGCTACTGTATAGAACTCTCCATTGGACAGCCTCATGTGCTTAGCTAAGTTCATCGCAACTTCTTGAAGGTTTTCCTTGTTCGGAGGCTGAATGTGGCAAGAGAAAGAATAAGGAATAAGGACCTGCTGAGAATAAGAGTGTAGATCGAGATACCCCACAAACTTGGAACCGTTCTCTGTCTCATTCTTGGCCCAGTCTGCTAATTGAGCGGCCTCGACGGCTTGAAACGGTTCATCACCACCATAGCTCTCCGAGCAAGGTTCATTCTGGTGGTCTGTTATATTCCACTCGTATGGAAAGGAATGGTCGAGATCGAACCCTTGGCAGTATGACATTTTGGTCCGCTGTCGTGATTTGCGCCATAGTCGATCAACTCTCCACGTATACTCATACCCATCAGGATTTAGGACGGGGATGAAGACAAGGTCAAAGCGCTCGAGAATCTTTCTAGCTACTGGGTCCTTGTCGGCGGACTGGATGAAAGACCAGGCGGCATAGTTGACGGAGCTCATGGCAATCCATTCTCGAGCATGTAGCCCGCCAGTAATGAGAAGAATCTCACGGGGACTGCCAGCCGTGTCTCCGTCGGGCCGTATGCCCACTCGCAGAGCTGGAATGTCACGGCCCTCATATGATTTCCCAATGCTGATCATCTGCACGAGACCGCGACCCCGGAACATGGAATCAACCAGGCGCATCCATGCCACCATGACGGAGTATGGCTGGTAATCCTGGAAGTAGACGTCAACAACGTCGGGCTTCCTAGGCAGAGAGTGCGACGTCGAAGCGGTACCACGGTGATCCAGCTGATAGCTATGAGCCAAACCCCGATGAGAAGGATAGGTGGCAGCGGCAACGCGAGCGAGGTCTGGGATGAGGATGGCGTGGTTCTCTCGCAAGGACGAAGGCAGAGCGCGGACTAAATAGCGAATACGTCGACTGGGGACACGAATGTCTACATGATTGTCGGCAAAGTCCCAAACATCAAGAAGCATGCGGTCGACGACGGTACGCAAGGCTGCTTCATGCTGTGAATCGGAAATATTAAAGCGAATGACGACCTGCTCCTCGTAGCTCTTCAAGCTCTCGATGAGCCTCGGGTGGTCGTCTACCCAGCGGGTCAGGCTGCTGCTCGCTGAGGTGTGTGATGGGCTCAATGAGAGACGGTCGTAGAGGCGGCGCAAGAAGGAGCGGGGAGTAGGCGTGGACGCAGACGCGGGCAGAGGTGATGCTTGGCGAGAGGATGTCGACTTCCCGGCTGGGCCATTACCTCGAGTTGGAGGAAGGCCGGGAATGCGCGAGGCGTTGGCATAGTCGACGCCGTTCGAGAATAGGAATACGAGAGCGAAGAGGAAAGAAACCAGATGATGGATCAGGCGCATGTTGGCGGCGACGGGTATGAGGGCATCGCAGCTGCATACGACGATCACGGTAGAAGACGAAGCAGTGTTAGACGCACAGATGTTGCTCGAGACACTCCCGAAGCTGGCGAGGATGATGTACGGAGACTGAGGAACGGTGGCATTCGAGGCTGCCTGATTTCGCCATATTGAAGATATTCCAGCTCTTCCTGTATATACTCATATACTCGATATATGCATTTACATACATAGATTTGGTACAATTGAAGTCCTAGGTACAGAACGCCCGGCCTGATTTCAAGTACCGATGATGCATGTACACTGACTTAAGCAGGAAATAAGAAGGACCATAATGGCAATTGACTTTCTGACAATAGTACCTACATGTACTTCCACCTCTTGACCACCCAGATTCTTAAATCTAATGTAGTGGGATGAGAGTTGGCTGGGCGGATTTAAAACACAGATTAAGTCTCCTCAAAAGCTCAAGAGCGTAGGCAACATGTAGTACCAACATTCGTAACCGCAACATTCGTAACCGCAAGGTAACATTTATAAACGACAGTGATAGATACTTCGTATCTGGCCATGACGCTCAGATTACGCAATACCTCGCTCTGACTTGCAACGAGTGTACATGTTGGGAACCAAGTAAGTACCTCTTGAATGCAGGGTCAACGTCAACCTCAATCGGGAATCTTAACGTCCCGTCCTACATGGTATAGGCCCGAGGACAAGGTACCTACCTACATCATGTGGGTATCTTTATGCATGTATTGAAGCCTCGTAGGTCCCTACATGCAC